TTGTAAAGGACATTATAAAAATAACCATTTTAGCAATAATGGACAGCGAGTGAAATTCTACAGTGAGTTCCCATGGTAAACTCGTCAGCTGGGCTTTCCCAATGTAGTCCTTTACATCAGACACTAATTAATAGCTACTTGATCTCCCCAAGAACAACTGCTCAGTGTGGCCATAAAGTTCAATGCCCTGCCTTCTACATTTCCAACTCTTAAAGCAGAAAACAGCAGGGTTTAGTGTCTTAGGTTGGACAATGCAAGATGTGGCTGGGGGTGTGTGCTCCATTCCCATCTGTCAGAGCTGGGGCAGTTCTCTGCTGTTCTTTGGGCAGTTTTCTTTATCTCTCCCACAGCCCATCCTCCCTCCAGGAGATCCCTTCTGTTCATGGGCCATTAATTATTAATTACCTTCTGTTGATGGCCACTGAGTGTCCCTGCATGGCTGAGAAAATTCCTTCACCCATGAGGAGATGCTCTGCTCAGGGGAGGAGCCAAACATTCCTACCTGGATACAATCTGACCTGGGAACAGCACAGCAGCCTTTGCCCCCTGCATTCCCAGAGGAGCAGCTTTCTTCCCACTGCATTCCCAGAGGAGCAGCTTTCTTCCCACTGCATTCCCAGAGGAGCAGCTTTCTTCCCACTGCATTCCCAGAGGAGCAGCTTTCTTCCCACTGCATTCCCAGAGGAGCAGCTTTCTTCCCCACTGCATTCCCAGAGGAGCCCAGGCCCATCTCCCCCAGCCCTGGAGCTCCAGAGGAAAACTCCCCCCTTGTGCAGGATCCTGCTCCAGCAGAAGCACAGCTGGCACTGCAGGAGGGCTGAGCCACCCTGGGATGGGTGACAGGCATGCTCTGACTCTGCCAGTGGTTTGGGGGTTTTTTGGTTTTTTGGGGTTTTTTTGTTTTGTTTTGTTTGTTTGTTTGTTTGTTTGTTTTTTGTTTCATTTGTTTTTTTTTTTTGGTGCTATTACATTTGTCTTTTTTTTTTTTTTTAGCTTTCCTAGTGAAGAACTGTAATTCTTATTCCCATATCTTTTCCTGAGAGCCCCTTAATTTCAAAATTATAATAATTCAGAGGGAGAGGGATTACATTTTCCATTTCAAGGAAGGCTCCTGCCTTCCTTAGCAGACACCTGGCTTTCCAGCCAAGACAGTTTAGCTGATGATTTAGCTGATTTTGTTTGTCACCACTCTCCTTAAGCAAGGACCAAACCACAACACTCAGAGTGCTGAACAATTTAATGCACTTCCCAACCCTACTCCAGCTGTTATGCAATAAATTGGTAAAGACACTTAAACACCTTTAGCAGCTTTGCCTGAAGAGTTAGCAGAGCACTGGAACCAGGTGCATTCATGGACAGCTCTTTGTCACGCTGGGAATTCAACAACCAATGGCCCAAACAGCTGGAACAGAGTCGTGAAACCATCTGGAACTGGGGATACCACAGCAACCATTTATCCAGGAGAGGAGGGGCTGCTTTGGACTATATTTAGTCTGGTCCAAGCACTGAACCTCTGATAGCATCAATCCCAGCTACTTCCAGAGGGAATATTGCAATTTAATTTAATATAAAGGCACACAGAGAAAATAGAGAGCAGGAGATCTGCACTAACAGCTCAATCCCAATCCTAAATAAAACATTCCCATAAATACAGTGTGGTGTTGTGCTTGCCTGGAACACTGGATTGTGTTTTTAATGACAGTGACTGTGCATAAAGAGCTAGAAAAAGGCCTGTTTTTCATCAGAGCAAAGCAAGCAAGGCAGAGAGGGGCACAGAGCCTCCAGTTTGCCCAGCCCAGGGCTGTGTAAATCCAAATTGACCATGAATATTTTCATTAACAGGCTCAAAACCCTCCAAGTTCCATAAAACACAAACATGTGCTTTTAGCCCTCTGATTTAGACAGATCATTTAATACATACATTTTGCACCTCGGATTTATTTGTATCTTGGAGACAATAGAATACAATATCCTAAAAATAACACAATATTTCGTTCCTTCAGGCAATTCTTTTGAATTGAGAAATTATAGCTCAAGGGCCAAAGGGGTGTGGGGGGGGGGGTGCTCAGAATTTGAGAACAAAATAACTTGGATGACATCTAGTGGGAAAATAAGAAATCACTGGGTGAAATTATGAATGGGGAAAACTGCAAAGAGGAAGGTTCTCAATGAGAACAGGTGAGAGAACAGGAGAGAGAAATGTTCAATAAAATGGGTGGAGTACAATTTATAAGAAGAATTTCCTAAATGACAAGATTTTATCTTCCTGTGGAATAATCTGAGGAAACGGGATTTTGGATTTGACAGAGGCAAAACTACATTAGGCAAAAACCCCATTAGGCAAAACCACAATAAATGTGCAGCAGGAAAAAAATATGGGCAGGAGGAAACTCTGAGCCCTCCTATGTGGAAATACTCAGAAGGCTTTGATAGCCAGATCTGCAGAGTGAAGTAGGTAAGAGGAAAATTTTGGCCTTCAGGCAATAGCAGCTCCTGATTTGAAAGAAATCACAGTTTTTCTTTAATTCATTTCTGCCAGCAATATTCCTTGATGTGAAAATTAAATTTGTGATTGATTTTTTTATCATCCTTCTTGCTTATTTGTAGAATTCATTAATTACCAGTGACTCACATCCAATTACAAAGATCTATTTTGTTAGTCTGCTCTCACCAACCTATTTGAAAGTACAGAAGAACAGAATTAATCAAGGTGAGAGAATTCAAATGAGAAGCTGTCCATTGGCAATGTGAGGTGGGCAGTTTTTTCAGCATTGGGAATGGGAACAGTGCTTGAGAAAACTTCTGCCTTTCTTGGTCAAGAACAGGTCACTGTCAGCAATAAATGACTGGAACTCCTTAAAAGTGACTAGAAAAGACAATGGCATCTTCTGGCTGAGTTTGCTCTCAGCAGGTCACACGTTTGATCTGCTCATTTATCTCCAGCTTGCAGCCTTTATTCTGAGCCACGAGGAAAGCAATAATCTCCCTCAGCCCTTTTCCTCCCTGAATAATCACACACAGCCCCCACAGAACTCACTGCAGAAGCCAAGGCCTCCAAAGGAAGCTGATCCAGAGAAATGGGTTTACAGGGGAGAGGTGAGGAGAGAGGCTTGTTTGGGAAATAAGAGTGTCCAGAAATCCCTCTCCACTGAGAGGAGACAGAACCTCTCCCATTCACAAAAACTTCAAACAGATTCTCTCTGTCGAAAAAAATTTATTTCATACCCTAACGAGATTATAGCAGATTATAACTAATTTTTTTTTAAATTGGCTCTTAATAAATCCTCTTAAATGAAGAATCCTCATTCGACCTACAAAAAGCTACAGCCCTAAAATCAGAAATGCAAATGCCTGGTGCTTCTGGCAGCCACTCTCTGCACACTCTCAGCTCCACAGGGAGCTGGAGCCCTGGCCAGGGCACAGCTCTGGGGAGTCAGCAGGAGCAGCTGGGCACAGCTGCAAGCAGCTGGGCACATCTGGACACCTCTGCCACCCCCGGGGACACCTGGAGGAATGCAGGACTAACACAGAAAGGTGAGTGTGGATTGCAGGGGATTCCAGATGGTGTCAGTGCAGAAGGACACAGCATTTGATTTCCCTGTGTGACAGGAAGGTTTTGATCCCATGGCAGCACTCCTGCAGGCACAGTGGCACACAGACAATTATGGAATCCATGGATGTGCTTCCCAAAGGCAGGGAAACCATCCTGAGGATGGAAGGACCATTAGCAGTGCACTCACAGCCATCCCACACCTGACAGGAGGTGAACTGCTCACCTCAGCAAGGGAGGAGTCATCTCCTCATCTCATAGAAAAGATCAAAACTCTAAAGGGCTTTGAGTAATTCAGTCTTTTCCCCCTGGCACTGTCTGAATTGCCTTTTCAAATGCTAAAGAGCAGAGATACACAATAAAGCATTTTCCTAAGGAAGTTCCTAACAAAGTTCCAGCTCCTGGTAACTTATTAGACCTAATGAAGAAAGTTTATTTAAAAATAAGTAAAAATTAGACAACAAGCATTGCTGCCAGGGTAATTTACACACCAGAAATTTCCTTTCCTCCCAGAAACAGCCTGTTATAAAGAAAGGACAGCTCAAAACCACAGCTGCACATCTGCAACATGAAAACCTCACCTAGGCTTCATTTCCAAAAGCAGAACAGAGCTCCAAGCCTGTCCCCAAACATTCAACACTACACCAAACTGGCCTGGATGGAACACCAGACCCACAACCAGATGTGTTTCCAAATGCCAGCTGCCATTGGAATTCTTCTGTGTTCATGGCTGGTAAATAAGTAAAGGAAAACTTATATCCAAAACTTTGCATACCCAATCAAAAGTGAAAAATAACTCCTATTTTTTCTTTCCCTTCACACAGACATGGCATTCTTTGTTTAGGTGAATGGGTACATGTGCATTACAAACTTGTATGACCCTAATTGACTTGCTTTGCAGCCAAATACACACAGATATTTCAGAAATCTTCCTTTCACTAGTTGGAATTATCATTTTTGAACACAGGTGACCCAAGTTAAATGCTATATTTTGGGTGACTTCAACACAATTTCATCTATTTCAGTTCAATGGCATTAATGTTTCCTTTCTCTACTCCTGTCTTTCTCTATCTCCTAATGATGTCACCTGACTATCATGGTTATTTTGATGTTATGGTGTGCTTTTATAATTTTTATTGAAATGGTGAGAAGGCAGATATTAAACAAACCTGGCTGACCAATACAGAAAAACTCAATTTCAGAGGCTAACTTATCCCCCTCATCTACTGGGGCTTGTGTATCTCAGCAGGTCAGGCCCAAACTAACTTTTATACATGGAGATTTTCTGGAGATAAAAAAAACCCACAAGGTTCAGATAAGTTTTTCCAGATACCGTCAGATGCAATAGGAAAAATTCATTAGGAACAAAACAAAAACCCCAAAGCATTTCCTATTGTCTGCAGCAAGCACAAGACCCACCCCAAGCAATTTTTGCCACGGCACAGCCATAAATAGCAGTTGTGGGATGCTGCCCCATCCTGCAGAGGAAAAAGCTGATCTGCCACAGCTGCTGGGGGACTCTGAGCACTCAGCCTGCCCTGCCATCCGCACCCCAGCATTTCTGCAGGCACAGGAAAGGGACCAAGAGGAGCCAAACAGGGTAAGTGTCAGCCAGGCACCTCCCCAGCTCTCCCTTCTGCATTTCTGCCACAGTTCTTGTGTCTGTTTGAGTTTGGGTTGCTTGCTGTTTCTATATTTAATCAGAAGATATGCCTTTTCCATAAATATCACTTAACTTCTTTTAGCCAGCTGTCATAGTCTGTCCTTCTAAGATGTTTACTTTGGGGAAAAGAGCTCTGGTAGATTTCTTGAAAGATCACGGATGAGTATCTGGGTTCAGAGCAAAGATACTCAGAATACCCAATCCTAGATTTCAGCTTATCTTAATGGCTAAAATAGGTTTTAAGGATGAACAAAACAAAATGTAGTGTATGTACCAATGTCAAAAATTAGTTAATGAACCATCCACGCAAAAAGAAAAAAATTGGGGGTGGGGGAGGTGGGTGGAACTACAATATAGAAGGTAAATTATGACTATCAAGAGCAGAGTTCAGCCTGGGCAGTTATAGAAGAAAATGTGGAAAAGAAAATAAGCAACGGGTGGCACAGGACACAAAGAGGAACAACAGAGTATTTGTCAACTTGCTGATAAATACATAGGAGATGGATAAGCTGAGCATTTCAGCTTCAGAAAGAAAGGAGATTTTCAGACATTTACAATTATTCAATCCCTTAGGCTTCATTTTGAAAACTGGTTTAAACACACAATTTTAACACTAGATCTATGAATATGGAAGCAGAATAGAAACCTTTGCCTAAAACTAAACTGATTTTTCCTATCATCTCCTGGTGACATTCTGCCCCAGAGTTTTGATCAATGATAGCTTTTGTACAATTATGAAGGGAAAACAATGAACCAGAGGGGAAGGGAAGGGAAGGGAAGGGAAGGGAAGGGAAGGGAAGGGAAGGGAAGGGAAGGGAAGGGAAGGGAAGGGAAGGGAAGGGAAGGGAAGGGAAGGGAAGGAAGGGAAGGGAAGGGAAGGGAAGGGAAGGGAAGGGAAGGGAAGGGAAGGGAAGGGAAGGGAAGGGAAGGGAAGGGAAGGGAAGGGAAGGGAAGGGAAGGGAAGGGAAGGGAAGGGAAGGGAAGGGAAGGGAAGGGAAGGGAAGGGAAGGGAAGGGAAGGGAAGGGAAGGGAAGGGAAGGGAAGGGAAGGGAAGGGAAGGGAAGGGAAGGAGTGTGCTTTGTCTTCAGTGTTCATGCTGAAGCTGGGGAGAGTGGTTCTGTGGGCCATACAGAAAGCTAAAGATTTGTCATAGTTGAGACGGAGAAAATACAAAGCAACACACTCCATTTCCAGAAGGCTTCAAAGCCTGTTTTTATTCTAGCATGCATGCTTTTTCTACATTCTAACAAAGCACCTAAGTTTACACTTGACTCACTGGTCACAAGAGACAAGCAAAGTACTTATTGGAATAGGCAGTTGCAGGTTTCTCTTATTCATCCTTCATTCTTTCTTGGTTTGTATGTCAACGCCCTTGGTAGAAAATTCTTTCAGGGGTAAACATGGATCCTCTTATCAAACTTCTCTCTGGCTCACAGGAGTCGCTGTAAAACCTCTTCCAAAACAAAGATTTTATTCCAGAAACCTGACGTTGTTGAGGCAGGATGGGAATGAGATGACTCCACTTCAGAAGGCTGAGAGTATAACTCTGATTTATTTATACAGAATTTTGTGTAGACCAACTCCATTGGTCCTGAAGTGAAAACACCTCAAACTATTGGTGCGCAGTGAACAATGCACAGTAGCAAAACCTAACCATAAACTATGTGAACAAGAGAGATAAAGAACCTTATTTACATTCTTTTCAGCACTTTCTCAGGCTTCTGCCTGGTTAGAAACTTTCCGTTTCTCTCTTTGACTGAATCTGAGACTGACAGAAACCTAAACCCGGGGGAGAATTAACTGCTGTGGCTGTGCTCTCAGAACCGCGGTGCTAAGCCTCACTTGTTGTTTGTGCAGCTGCAGATGGAGCTGCTGGCCGTGCTGGGCTGTGCCCTGCTGCTCGCCGGGGTCCTGGCTGAGCCCTGTCCATCCCCGTGCAGCTGCTGGTCCCTGGGGGAGCCCTGGGGGACGGGGGTGGACTGCAGCTCGCGGGGGCTGCGCGCCCTGCCCGCCCTGCCGCGCCTGACCCGCAGCCTGCGCCTGCACAACAACAGCCTGGCCTCCATCCCCGCCGGGGCCCTGGACAGCCTGGGCCACCTGCAGGAGCTGCAGCTCTGGGACAACCCCTGGCACTGCGACTGTCACATCCTGTACCTGAAGCTCTGGCTGCAGGATTTCTCCGCGCCCGCGCTCGCCCGCCTCAGGTGCGCCAGCCCCGCTCGGCTGAGGATGAAGGCCCTGGGGCAGCTGACTGGGAATGATCTGGGCGTTTGTAGCCAGCTTCTCCCAACCAAGTGTCTCCAGTTCTTCTGGAGAGACCTCGTTTTAATTGCTGGGGCCATAATTACCCTCCTTTTAGTGGCGTGGGCTCTGAAGTTCTCCAAAAAGCTGGTGTGCCAGCTCAGCCTCGGGAGGCGGCGGCTGAGGAGGAACATCCCCAAAACACACAAGGTACTGTGAGCTCCGTCCTGCCACCAGCCTGGCTGAAACTCCAAACTCCTCCACAACAAAAAAGCAAAAGCACTGATAGCACTGGTTTGAATAGTCAATGCTAAAAAAGCCCAAAGTCTGGGTCCTCAGGCAAGCTGGATTTAATTTTTGTCCAAAAATAAGCTTGGTAAGTCTTGGGCAGGCAAGTTTCACCCTGCTGCCATCTGCTCATATGAAGAGCAGTTTCCACATTTTTAAAAATCATTTAACTTAACATTTTCCCACTGGATTCTCAGCCCTTATAGAAAGAAGATTTACACCCCTACACTTTTTAATATATGGAAATAAACACCAATTCTATTATTTTAACGACTCTTTTCTGAGGCTCTGTGAATTTATAACCCATCAGCATCTCTCGGTGTCCCAGGGGGCTTGGTAGGACCATTCCCGTGTGCAGGAAAACTCAGCCCTCTCTTCCTCAGATTCAGGAGCTTCCTGCCACCAAAACCACCCAGATTATACAGACCAGACACTGAATGGATCCCTGCTTGAAAACAGTTAAAGATGGACTGGTCATGACAACACAATCAGCAAAATAATTTTAAATCTTATGGAATTTCCTGGAGAGTGAAAAATAATAAAGCATTCTATGTGGAACTGAAAGAACGGATGTTTATTGAACATTCATATTGACCAAAATTTGATCTCTTTCACAATTCTAAGCATTTCTGATTAAACGTCTGAGATATTTTCAGAAGCTGTCCTCTGGAGATAATTTTAGAATATTTCCCCTGCCCTGAGCTAATCAATTCTTTAAAAGACAGCCACCATGTACGAATGCAGAACATTACAGAAGAAATGCACTCTGCCATCTCTCTTGGAATTTCCTACATGATATTTCTTGCTTCCCCAAAATGAAATAAATCATTCAGACGAAGAGCTTATCACTCTCTTCTGTGCCTTTAAACTAGATATGCATAGAATAACAAACTGCTTTACTACATGGCCTCAATAGTACAAATGTATTAAAAATGGGCAATTAGTGAACATTTCTGCTTGCACCAACCAGCACATCAAATAAGATGCACAAAATACAGGAAAAAAAATTGAGATAATTTTTCTGTCCCTATAAGAGGAAAGAGGAGGGAATCTCTTCCATGGCAGCAGTTTACATTCTACCAAAACTGCTGCCATGGAAGCCTTGTATTTATAACTTTTCAACCGTTTGGGTTTTATCTGGAAAAAAAAAAAACCTCTCTGCAAAGAGGACAGTTGGAACTAACTGAGGGCTCAAAAGCAACACTTAGTGTTTATCTGGCAGGGCCACTGCTTTAGCCACACACTCCCTCAAACTGCATAACTACCACCACAGCTGCCCATAACGTGCAAAGGCAGGAAAATACATCAGCTATCAAAATGAAACACACAGGCAGCACTCCCAAAATGGGTTTGGAACACCCCAGAAACTGTCACTGCATCCAGCCTCCAAGGGGCAAACTGCTGGCTGTATCTGCTTGCACAATCTGGGAATACAGATGTGACTGCTGGGATGATTAAAATAAAATAAAATAAAATAAAATAAAATAAAATAAAATAAAATAAAATAAAATAAAATAAAATAATGAAATAAAATACTATGAGGTTTGCTTCCACAGTGGGCAGGAGAAGTCATGAGAGTCAGCATTATTGACCAAAACCTCACTGCAGCACATAGAGAAGGTTTGTGTGAACAGGAATTTGTGTGAACAGCAATTCTGTGTAGACTGAAACTCTAAGCTAAGGTGAGGAATATTTGCAGGTTTCATTTATTAAATAGCATGGTATGTGAATCACCTTTTTGCCTATAAATTCTCTGTGTTTTGTTAACACTGGAGCAAACAGCATTGCTCAAGATGAATGACTTCTGTTCAGCTTCCTGCTTGCCTTCTGCCAGGCTTTAGTCAGAGTTTATTCCAGGTGTGAGCTCATGCACCAGAGCAGTTTGCAAGGCTCCATCATCACAAAATGCTGCTCTCCTTTGTGCTACAGAGCCACCATTCTGACAGAACATTATTATTATTATTAATATGATTATTAATGTGCTAACAGCCAGCTCTGGAGCTCCCTGGAACACAAGGCAGCTCAGCCTGCCTCAGCTCAGAGCAGGCTGAATAAACCAGCCCAGCCCTGCCCAATGGAATAAACCAGCCCAGCCCTGCCCAGGGAAATAAAAGTGGCTCTGCCTCATGTGTCTGGTTTTGAAGCACTGATGTTGCTCCTCTGGGTGCAGCCACTCTGGGGCTGACTGCTGAAATCAGCTACAAATATTCTTCTCTGCACCAGAACTGAAAGAATTGAAGCTCTTCTGCTCATTTATAAGACAGAAGGATTTCCAAATCCAGAAAGAAAGCAGCAGCACGATTGCCCCTGGGCAGCAGCAGCCCAGCTGGAGCTCCTGGGAAAGCACAGCAGGAGCAGGGGAGCCTGGGGAGGAGCTGCCCAAAAGGTGCCAAGGGTGGAGATGAGCAACTGGGAAAAACAGGCACTTGAAATTCCTGCTTTTTAATATATTTTAATTTTATTTTTATTTTTAGTGGAAAATACCTCCCTCCTGCGTGCACAGGGCAGTGGCAGCTGCCAGCAGCTCCAATCCAAGTGCCACTGCCAGGGAGGGCTGGGCACCCGGACAGTGTAGGAAATGACATGGCTTGGGGAACAGAGCCAGCTCGAGCCCCCCTGCCCTGGCAGGAGCATCTGCTTGCCACAGAGGAGCAAAAGTGCATGCCTGTGATGTAAGTTATTTTAGAAGAGATGCTTATTCATAGTAAAATTGCAATATTTTCTCTAAAACGTACTTACTACTGGTGTGGAGTCACTGAATTTGCATGATTTCTACCTGGTCCTGTGTTCCAAGGATGTTGGTATTTTAAGAACATACATTTCTCATGTGTTTCAGCTTCTGCAGGTGAAGGTTAAATGATGAATGAGATCTAAGTGTACTCGACAGCTTTTTCTTTTCCCCCACCAAGTAAAGAGGAAGAAATCTGAAAACAGCTTTTTATTTCACCCATGCTTTGAGAATCAGCCCAGCCTTTCCCAGGAGCTCTGGGCAGCTCCATGAGGTAGATATGTGGCATTTTTCTGTTTTGACGGTCTTCTCTTATTTGTAAGTGAGTGTAGGAAGTAGATTTGAATTTACACATCTCCATGGGCTCACACTCATATCTAACCTGAGAGGATTTTGACTGTAAACCTGTCCTAAGGTTTGCTCAGCAACTTAGGTAAAATCAATCCACACTAAATTCATACTAGAGACCAAGCACAGCTTTGCTCTTAGGAACAAAATACATTACAAAGTTAACCAGCTTGTTCTGTATTTATCATTTGGTTAAGTGGCTGTGCATTTAAGGATTCAGATTTAGTGCTCCCTTTCAAAGAATTTAACTACAAAGAAAATAAGTAATACAAAGTAAAATATTTCTTTCTGTTCAGTCAAATCCCAGCTAAGTCATAAGAGATATGTCACATAATGACAGTAATTTTCCATTTTATTTGCACACCTTCTGCTTGCACTGACCAGATATGGAACTGCATTAAAAACTCCTAGAATAACTCATCCAATAAAAAGAGAAAAACTCACCCTAGGAAAAAGTTTCCAACAGCAGAAAACCCAGACTATTCTTAACCTAATAGGACAAGAAAAAAAATAGGGATGTCTTCTACTTTTGAACTAGTAAATGTAACTGTAAGAACAAAACACTAATTAAATGTACAAAACACATTGAATGCAGTGAAACAGGCTCTTGGCTGGTGTGTGCTGGCACTATTGTATTCTAAATAAATTAGTCAATACCCATTCATTCTCATGATGGTTTATGTTTAAATGCACTATTTGGGGAATTATAAAAATAGAATTTGAGGCTTCACAAAACTGCTGTTCTTCCTGGATTCTTAAGGCCCACACACTTGCATGTTATGATTTATACCTTAATTACAGGATTTTCATTTCACTGCCAACAGATGAAATATTAACAATTCCTACCTAATAACTCCTTTGATGGTGCTAAGTTTACTGTAATGCTTAGCAATGCTAAGTTTATTTATCTTAATGCCTTTTCTCTCCAGAGCACAAAACAATTTCCCATAGTGCTGCGGCTCTGTTGCTGGAACCCACGTAAATATTTTGCTGTTAGATTGCCTCCAGTGAAATTCAGATAATGGCCACATGGCTGCTATTTATACTGAACTCCTTCCCAGGGGCACTTTGCTCCTGACGTGGCCTCTCCAGTGCCTTCCCAGCAGCACTTCCAATGTTCATCCCAGTGATATCACAGCTACTGCCTGACCTGGCATCTTCATTTTAGGCAAAAGAAACATTAGCATTTAGAATTTTGCTCAGATTTCATTTGGCTTGGCTTGTCTGACCAGCAAGCATCCAGTTCTCTAGCAATCCAGACTTATTAAAATTCAATGGTGCTGTTCTGCATCAAGACATTCCCTGGGAAAAGTGGATTGAAACCTCTTCTCTCAGAATACTATTAAGGAATAAGGCTACAGAAATACAGAGCATTCATCTTAGTCCAAGGGGAAAAAATTCAAATGAAGCCCTTTCTTAAATGACCTTGATCTCTAGGGAAGGGAGTATCAGCAGGGATGGATTGCAGCCTCCCTTTTCTCCTTGAATCATCTTTCTTCTCTCCTCTTTGGGGGTCAAAACCGTTTTACCTCTTAACTAATAATTTCTTTTTGACAAGGATTCATAGGTTTCCTCTTAGGACCATGGAGAAGGAGTCTGGGACCTGACACATCCAAATAAAATCAACCTTTGCAACCCTTTCCATCAGCAGCAGTGCAAAGCAGAGGAAGGTAATGGCAATGGCCACGCCACCAAAGGTTGCCCTCAAGACAGCAAAGTATTTAGAGGTGAGGGTATTCTTGATTTCCCTGAGTTTGCAGGGACACTGCAAAACCCAGTAAATTAATGTTCAGGTGCACTTATCAAAAGCTGGATTATGGAAAGACAAAAACTAAACCAGCAGCAATTACACCCTGAAGGGGCAGTGTGGCTGGACAGTGCCCAGGCAGAAAGGGACCTGGGGGCACTGGTCAGCAGCGGCTGAACATGAGCCAGCAATGTGCCCTGGTGGCCAAAAGGCCAATGGCTCCTGGCCTGTGTCAGGAATGGTGTGACAGCAGGAGCAGGGAGCTCATTCTGCCCCTGCACTCAGCACTGGTGAGGCCACACCTCGTGTGCTGTGTCCAGTTCTGGGCCTCAGTTTGGGAAGGACGTTGAGATGCTCGAGCACATCCAGAGGAGGCACCGAGGCTGGAGAGGGGCTGGGAGCACAAACCCTGTGAGGAACGGCTGAGGGAGCTGGGGGTGCTCAGCC